ATATATATATATATATATATATATATATATATATATGTAAAACCTCGACAGAGCAAGGATGTCCGAGATTGGCTCGAGAGAGAGAGAGAAAGGACCAAGGGGGCGAGCTTTTTAGAGAGCGGTATCGGCATATGGTATCGCGATAACTCAAACCGTGGGGGATATGTAAAGTTTTTTTGCCAAGAATCCGGCGACGTGGCGGTGGATCGTAAAACCGATTTCACTCGACACGGGCGGGAGGAGATTCGCCGACAAAAAAGGATCTCCCCCGAGCCTTGGTAACGTTAGCAAGGCGGAGGCGAGTAAAGGAGAGCAGAGGCGTAGCCGTGGTGGAAGGCTACGAAACGCGGCGCAAAATTGATTTCATTATCGATAAGGGAGTTACCGATCGAAAGAGCAATATATCCAACGGGAAGATTACTAGTATTTTGTTGTCGTCGTCGACGAGGGAGGGGAGGAAGAAGGAGCCGAGGGATATAGGAAGCTACGAAGCTTATACGGGCGGAGGGCAGGTATGTAAATCACAGAGGAGAGCACGCATCGCGTTGGATGCAGGCCAATGTCCTGCCGGGGGATTGCGCCACTGGGATCGAGCGCTATCCAAGGCCGACAATTGCTCAGCTTTGGTCCTCGATGGTGTTTCGTAAGAACGACCCATATAACGAACTTGACGCGACGCGTGGCGCCCACCCTCCTCCTCTTCTTTTCATCTCCGGTGAAAGGTGCTCTCGCGAATCTCGAGGACGCTCGACCGTTTTATCCGTGAATTCCCTTTCTCCTGAATCGCGTGGTGGTGCGGCAGCGAGAGCAAACCTCGCTGGAATCGACCCGCCTCTTGCACGGGAACGGAAATTGGCGCGGATACCGCAAAGATCGCTCGCATCAAGGAGAATGCCCCCATAGACTCGATTCCCTATGGCTAGATTCGATCACGTGGCCGAGTAAGTACGGTGTGGAAGTAATTACAGCTGTACTTACATTCCGCGGGGAACCGAGCAAACTGGTTTCGAGGCGGACTGCCCACTCGTACTCGATTACCGGAGCACCGCGGAAGTTATATTTTACGAAATATTTATGTTATATAGTAGAGTTTCAACGACACCTGGCTGCTTCTAAGTAAGTAAAATAGGTAGGGGTATATACACGGACAAATGGACGGACACCCAACATGGAGGGACAAAGAGAAAGAGAGAGATTTCTATCAGCACTTAGAGCAACTATGCGCTTAAAACTTTACGGGCAAACTTTCTTTTCCTCTCTCTCCACCTCCTTTTATTCCCCCCCTGCTAAACTCTTCCCCGTGGAATAAAAGTGTTGTTGTAAAAGTACGTTGCTCTCAGTCGGAGATATGCAACTATCGTGCACGACCTTTTTTTCTTTTTTCTTTTCGCTGTCATCGTCCTATAAACGACACGTTTAAAGTTTCTGGAACTGGGGAGGGGAAGGGGGGAAGGGAAGTTTGCTTACGAAACGCGATCGAACGCGAAACGATGTCTACGTCACTGTCGGCACCGTCAACTCTCCGCCGGTTCACTATATCCGCCCCGTCATCGTCGAGGTTCCGAGAATTCCCACAAATGAATGTCCACGATCGAATTTGTCCGTCCGTCGAAATAAATAAATAAATGAGTAAATAAATGAAAAAAAAAAAGAAAAAAAAAGATTTTCCAAATAGAAACATTGGTCTCTGTGGTACGTACAGCCTGCGGCGGTGGTGTAGTCGCATTAATAATGTAAGTGTGCAGATGGTGTGCAGTGAGTGCGCGGTGGCGCTGACTAGGATCAATGTTCCGTTCGCGATCTATATAGTATATAGTACAGTGTGTATGTAACGACAACACGCTGGCTATGTGAGAAACAACACACTGTTACACAAGCCATTTCCACAGAATATATTTGCAAATATTCTGATCAAACGCGTGGGATGGAATATGTATTTGAAAACAAGCATACGTGGCGTAAACACATGATCAATTCTGGCTTGTATTTCGTCGGATTTGTTTGAACAATACCCATGTTAAAATATAGTGGTGAAAAGTATGGTGTGGATGACGAAAACAAAAAAAAAATATATATATATATATGTATGTATACTACGTAAAAAAAAAAAAAGGAAAGGAAAACAGGAATAAATAAAAATGTTTTTCTTCCCTCCTCCCCCCTTTTTTCGATAAGTAAACGATATTGCGAAATATTTACGCATCGACGATTAATTTCGTCGCGGTAAACGCTAATTTCGTAGAGGAAAACTCGATCGAAACTAACTAAGGAGTAAACGGAAACACGTTCGTGCACTATATATATATGTATGTATCAACGTGTGTATGAATTATCGTGCGGATCGGGAAACAGTTGCGGGATATATGCTCGCAAGCGTGTAATAACGTATTTTATAAATTTATTCACATGATTTAAATAAATCAAGTATACAGTTAAGTTTACGACACCTGCGCAATTTTCGTGTCGTGTTTCACAGTAGATCGCAAAGCGCATGCTTTCTCGTTATTTTATTTATTTATTTAATTTTTTCTGTTTCTCACTCATAATTACCATTTTGTTTTCACCGTTTTATATATTTATATATATATATATATTTTTTGTTTGTTTGTATTTGTTTGCATTCTTTTTGTTTCCATCATCCCTCTTTTCTTTCTTCATTCTTACGCGACGTAATAATTATTTTACATGAGGCAAGACGTTTCAATTATAGATACATATTTACATATCGTACAAGTGTTTTCTCGTCATTCGGATCGGACATATAAAATTACAAAAAGTCATCGTCATCTATCTAGTCGAGAATTCAAAATCGAAGCTAAAACTCTCTCTCTCTTTCTACCGGGCCGATAAAACCGTAATACGCCTCTCGACCGTTCGTTCCTCGATAATATGTATAAGTAATATATATATATATACATACAATGTACATAGGTACACGTACGCCGATACAAGCTTGCAACAGCTTGCAGCTCTATTTACATATTGCGTTTCCTTTCTTCCGTGTATATATATATATATATAATAATAGATATGTACAACGCGCGCGCGCGCGTGTGTGTATGTGTGTGTGGATCTCTAAATCGCCATTAAAATACGATTTTTCCCGGTGATCCAGGCGCAAAGGAGATGGCATGTTTATACTTTATCGCTCGGTGAAAAGTCGTCAAGTAAAGTGGGAGAGGGAGTAGAGAAGAGAAGAGTCCCTGTCGAACTAGATTCTCACGAGACGCCATTCAGAAATTTCGCATCATACAGTTTGCGCGCGCGCAATCTGTTCGCGAATAGAAGAGAGAGGAGGCTCTGATATCGAGGGACCGGAGACAACGGAAAAGAGAGAGAGAAAGTGAGAGGAGAGGGGAGAGGCATAGAATAGGGATAGACCGAGGGGAAAAAAGACGGAAGGGACGGAAAAAAGAAAGGAGGAGGGGGAAATGCAGAAGTGGAAAAGTGAACAATCACGCCTTTTACCGATGAAACAAAGCAGGAGCGAACACGTATTCAACGTGAAAAGAAAAAGGATCGTCGCGGACAAATATTTCTAAAGTAGTGGAGAAGTCGTGGAATAAATACTCTCGGCTAATCGCGTATTCCTTTATCGCTAATAAGCTACGCTAATAATATAACGTCTCCCTGTGTTGAGCACAGCCCGAGAAAAGGCGAAATAACTCGACGACTCGATCTCTCGAGGTAGTATCTTGGACGATACTATGATCGTTCGACGCACACACCGATTCGTGTTGACCTTGGATACTTGATACACGAGATCAAAGTGAGAAAATAATATCTTTCATTTATCAATTATCCAAGGTATGCAAGGACCATTGTATATACGAAAACCGTCCCCTTTGCGGCATCGAAACACGGCGGTTCGAAACGCAACAAGCCAGAGAAGCTTCTTCTCATTCTCCATCGAGAGAATGAAAGAAAAGAAAGAAAGAAGGAAGGAAAGAAAGAAAGAAAAGAAAAGAAAGAAGTAAGTATCACAAGCGAGAAGAGAATCGGCGCGAAGCTAGACGAGATAGGCCTGGCCGGAGGATGGCGGTGGGGGCGGAGGCGGGGGTTGCTGTTGTCTCCAGGCGGTTCTCTCCAGCGTCGAATAATCCGAGTCGATGGACGAGTATATGTGCTCGGACAGCGGTCTTCTGTGATCCTCGCTGCTGCCGCTGCTGACCGTCGTGTTCGTGGCGATGAGATTGTTACCTGGCACGGTAACCGCATCTCGGTAGGCGTGATTGACGGTCAGCCTGGGTTGCGGGGACGAAGGTGGCAGTTGTTGTTGCGGCACGGAAACCGTGCCGCAGGAATAGGCGGGCGGCGCGTGTTGCAACATTAATGCGGTGGTCGGGGACGAGTCTTTGAACAGGGAACGCTGTCGTTCTTGGCCGCGCAACGTCGACACGCTCGTCTTCTCGCTACCGACACCGTCCAACGTGTACGTATTGATGTTACGCTTGTAGACGAGCGGGGACGATTTGCTCTCGATCGATATGTCGCCCATCATCGTGCTCGTCGTCGATGGTATCGCGTATCGAAGACGCTCCCAGAACCTCTTCTCGTTCCACGTGAGGATCGCGGCCGCGGTTCGAAGATACGGGCGCAGCTCGCGATCCAGCTCCACCTCCGGATACGCGTTCTCCGCTTGGACGATGATCAATTGCGAGGTCCGGCCGCGGAGGGCTTCGTGAAGCGCGGCGCGGAACTCGAATCGGGACCACTCGGTGAGCAGGAAATTTCGAGTGAGGACGATTAGCACGCGGCGCGACGCGTGCACCGCCTCGAGGACGACCGGCGCCGGGGTGGAAGCACGGAGTACGCAGGGTAGGTCGCGATGATGCAGGCACAGCCTGAGGCCGGCCGTCCCGTGTTCGAGTTCCACGGCCAGCGAATGCAACACGAAGTCCTCGTCGTTGGGGCTGTAACAAACGTAACAATCGTAGAGACGCTCGCGGTCGGAATCGCAACAAGCGGGCATCGGGGCAGCGGAGGCCATGGCCGCGGTTCCGCTCGACTTGCCCGGCTTCGCGCGCAAAAATCGTAGCCCGTACTTGGAATACGCCCAGGCGCCGACCGACTCGCGGAATATGAACGCGAGAACGATGATCACGAGGAGGACGAGCACCCCCGACAACGTGGCGGCCACCAGTGGCAGGTAATCGGATACCATGATGCTTTCTATCACGCCACCCTGAGAGAAGTAGTCGGAACAGACCGTCTCGTTCACGTTCAATCGCCGCCTGTAAGCCGGTCTCGCGTCACCCCCGTAGTAGCACCAAACGTCGCTCGCGTCCACCACTTTGTGCGCGTTGTCCGACACCCACGAGGACAATTCTTGCAAGAACTTGCAACGGCAGGACCACGGATTACTACCGAGAGACAGCTCGACCAGACGAGCGTTCAGGGTGACCTGCCAGACCGGAAAAGTCACCAATCGATTCCCGCTCAGCCTTAATATTTCGAGGGAACGTAACGGGAGGAAGGTCAGGTTACCGATGAATCCGATCAGATTGTTCTGGAGGTAGAGTTCGCGCAGGTGGGACAGCCGTTCGAACTCGAAGCCCTTCAACTCTCGTATCCGATTGTCCTCGAGGTGTAGGATCTGCAGATTGTTCAACCCGTTGAACGTACGATTCTGGATCGATTCTATGTCGCTCCCGTTCACGTACAGCACCCGCATATTCTTCCGCCCGATGAAGACGTGGTTCTGCAACTCGCGTAACACGTTACCGTCCAGGTAAACCTCGGTCGCGTCCATCGGGATCCGACGTGGTATCTCCTCGACCTCCAATCCGGAACAGTCCACTGCGTTCGTGTTCCACGTGCGATCGTTGTAGCACTTGCAACCCGCTGGACAGGTCATCTCGCAGTCGCAAGCGTCGAAATCGCAACAATGGCAGAGGGCGAAACAATGGGCCTCGTAGCGGCAGAGGAATTGCTCGGATCTCGCCGTCGAAGCGGACACGATTGCCACGCCACGTGGCCCGGATGTGCGACACATCACATTGTCCAGATCCATGATCCGTGGATATTCCCTGGTCGAGGTCTGATTGTTGATTCCTGGCAGCCAATCCATCGAACAATTACAATTGAACGGATTACCACCGATGTAGAATTCTGGCAGAGGTCGGTCCTCTGCTACCTTGGTCAGCAGCAACGACGTCAGTTCCATCGTTTCGATCATGTTCGCGTACATGTCGACCCTGGTCAGGTTCACCTTGTCCGTGAACGTGTTAGGTCGTACCAGATTGATGTAATTGTTGTTTATGAACAGCAACTCGACGCTGTCCGGCACGGACAGGGGGGACAATTCCGTGATACGATTGTGGCTGGCGTCCAATGTCTTCACCTTCGAATCGCGAATCTTGTAATAATTTCCTAAACTCTCGATGAAATTCCCGTGTATATCCAGCCACTTCAAATTTCCCGGTATGAACGCGTAGTCGAACCACTCGATGTGATTCTCCGATAGGTTCAATAGTAATAAACTGGCAATGCTGGTGAAAACGCCGTTAATATCCGAGAGGAAGTTGCCGTCGAGCCTGATCGCCTCCAATCTCATGTTCCGTTCGAACGCGTACCTCTCAACGTGTTGAACCTTGTTCCTAGCCAAATTTAAAATCTGCAGATTCGGTAGATCCCACAGCATACCGCGCGACAGATTCCCAATGTCGTTGCCGATCAACCGCAATCCTGTAAGCTGATCGAGATTGCGGAACGAGCCATTATAAAAATTGCTGATCCGGTTCTCGCCTAGGTCGAGGGTTTTCAGAAGAGCGAGATCGCGTAGCGCGTCGGGCACGGACGTAAGCTCGTTACCGCTCAGATCCAGTTCCTTCAGGTCGGAACAGTTGCGAAACGCGAGCGGGTCGATGCTCGCGATCGCGTTGCCGGACAACGTGAGCCGATTCAGAACGAACAGACCGTTGAATAGTTGCGCTCCCACGGTGTGAAGCTTATTATCGGACAGCTCGAGGGTGTGTAGGTTGTAGAGAGGCAAAAAGGCGTTGCTCTCGATCCGATCGATCGAGTTGTTCCTAAGATCGAGAATTTGAAGGAAGAAAAGATCTTTGAACATACGAGCGTCGATGTGCGTTAGCATGTTGTAAGACAGGTTGAGAACGATCAATCGTATTAGCCCGAGAAACGTGGTCTCGTCCACTCGATCGCTGCCGAGCCGATTACCAGCGAGATTGAGTACCAGCAGCTGCTCCAGACGAGTGAATATACCCTTGGGCAGGTCGCGGAGCCCGTTGTAAGCCAGGTGTATCTCGCGCAGATCCCTCGTACTGGCGAACAATCCTTCGGGCAACGAGTCCAGAGAATTATAACTGGCGTTGAAGGTACGCAACACGGTAAGCCCGGTGAGCGCGTCACCGGCTATTTCAACGATCGCGTTCCGTTGCAGGTGTAGCTCTTGAAGTTGGCGAAGATCGAGCAACGGACTGTTCTCTTGTAAACGCGTAATCTCATTGCGCGACAGATCCAGGATTCGAATGTCCGCGCGGCACGATGATTCGCCGTTTCCGTCGGATCCGTCAACCGAGTCACGTCGATTCAATCCAATGTCGTTTATGTCGCGTAAACGATTCTCCGTCAAATTTAACGTTTGTAGATTATCCAGGGAGCAAAGCGAGTTCACTGGTAACGCTTGCACATTACTCTCCACAATTTCTAACGTATGAAGTTCCCGCAGACCGAGGAAAGAGTCCGGGGCGAGTTCAAGAAAACGGCTTGCACCCCATACAGAGTTAAAAGTTTGTACGGTCAGTTTCTTGAGTTCTAGAAGCGGTTGGAAAGCACCTTCGGGTATTCGCAATACCTTACAACCGTGCACGTGCAGCTCGTGCAAACTAGTCAAACGTTGCCAACTTTGTGCGTTGAAACTGCTTTCGAAATGATGGACGTCGCTGCACCGTATCCGTAATTTGAGAGCGCCGTCGAGTGACGCGACTAGACCAGTAATCGCACCAGGATCCAATACTCGAAGAGTGCAATCCGCGGAACGCGTGTCGTTACCACCCTCGGACAACCACTTGCAAGAGGACCCAGCCGATTCCGAGAGTATCGTTGATGCAAGACAAAGAAAAGCTGCGTTGATCAGCGTCATAAAAACATACTTCGCTGTCATCTTGCGTGACGGTGGTTGCGCGCGGCTTTTCGATTAACTTCTAGCCGAGAAACGGACGCGATCACAATCGCGACCACGACACCGTGATCAACTCTTTTCACTTTTGAAATTTAGCCAAATTATTTTCACCCTTTTTCATCCCTTTCTCGCGTTACACACTCGCACAGCGATGACACACGCACGCACATACACACGCGAGCGAGTGCGAGCGCGCGCGCGCTCATGCACCTCCTATCACGTAAGTACGGATCGGCCCATTTCTCTTGCCCTTTATTCGTGGGCTGGTGGCGAGGCACCCTGCCCTACGTTCCTTCACTTTTCTTTCACTCGCGATCTTTTCAACTGGTCGACCCGTGATTCCTCGTTGAACTGTTCGTTCTTGACTGTCGATTAATTTTTCTTTCTTCGTTCACTTTTGTTACCTATATCTCTTTATATGCTGATGTTTTTACATACGTACATTATCGCGGCAAGTAGTACGAACGCGCTTTAACGAAACGACAAAACGAAAACAGTCCGTGCACAACTCGTATACGCGAAGCGCCCGTGCGCTACCGTACACTCGCCTCGCATCAAGCACTAGCACTGATCCAGCAAACCGCTGAGCGCGCATCATCGGCATTCCCGACTGTTCCTCTTCGATTTCTCTCTCCAACGGCAGAGTGCGCCACTTTATTAGAATATCCTGCAAAGAAGCCGGCACGAATAAGAACAGAATGTAAAACATAACGTTCATATGCGCTTTGGTATGTGTACTGGTTTTACTCTGCTCTCCGCTGATTGGTGCACTTTTTTTTTATCCTAATTATATGTGTTAAGTCGTTAGAAAATGCCTTAATCAATGCTAGTTCGAAATTTAAATTTGAGAACGTTGCAACGGAATATAATTTCATATGTATTTTAATTTTCTAAACTTCGAAATTAATAATTATTTTCAAGTTTTGTGAAGTAATTTATTTTCGAGATAAGTTATTTTGAAATATATTGTTTGGATAAAACATATTATATACTTTTATATATTTTTGTATTTTTCTTCTTATATTATATTAAAAATATTTGTGTTTATAAAAATCTGTAATATTTTGATTCCAAATAAAATTTCAACATATCACGATATAAAAATTACAAATACATGTATAAAATACATGTATAAAATAAAATTATATGATTCGTATATATTTGAAAAATTTATAAAATCGATTCATGCTTATTAAATTATCATAATAAATTAATATGTATTTAAAAAATGTAAAATTACTGCATAGATGATATCAGTATTTTATTTTATAATATTTATTTAACAATAGATTAAAAAATAACGTATTTCAAGTTTATACACATTGTACGAACCATCTAGGGAATATATTTAACAAGTGAAGTTATATACGTAGCGTCGCTACTGTCTTCGTACAGTTGCAATTGGTGGAAGCTGATGCTAGCGACCAGTTCAATTTCAGCAGAAGCTTACGTTGCACGCTTCTTTGTAGCGGATTTGTAACGAAGAATTTGTCTGTAAACATCTAATTTTGTTAAAAAAACATACGTGATTATTGAAATTGTTTTCATTTAAAAACCACAAAAATGAAATTAGTGCATATAAGCTGCATTTTATTGGTTACGACAATCAACTGCATTGCGAGTAACAATGGTAAGTATTAATATTTTATGTTTGCTTTGTTAATGTCTATTAACACAATATGTGTTGCATTTCATTCGCGTGATATTCTATTCAAACTTTTGTATATCATTATTAGCTCATATTATTATTTATTTTATATACACGGGAAACATTCACGAAAAATTTAAACGGAAAATTCGTTCTCAGATGTCGGCAACTTACGTGGCGTTTAAATGTGCTAAATGTTTCGTATTTAGCCATATAAATGACGCAGTTTATTTTCAAAATTTCTTAAAATATTGCATAAAATATTCAATTTATGAAAAATAGCAATATATGCTACACGATCTTTTATACATTTTTAATTTTACGTAGTTTAATAGTAGCACGTTCACTTGTATCATATTACACAAGACGACAGATCGTTGCTATGTTTTTCGATGTCTCTAGAAACGCGTTCCTAAAATCCGTTATTTCTACATGATTTAACAATTTATTTAGGCTTTTTAATTATGTTTCAGTATTTTATTATTATCTATTTTGTGTTTCTACGCTTATTTCAAAATATTTTGTAATGTAAGAGATATATACTTATGTTACAAAGTTTTATTAATTTTAACAAAATGTCGAAAATATTTATGAGAAATTTTTTTATATAAATTAATTTTATTTCACATTGCATGTAAATTATTAATCTTAATTATTAAAATTTTTAAGAAAATTCGGTTATAAACTAAATATATATGTATATATATTTTTATTAATGCGAATGTTAATTTTTTTTTATAATATATATACATATATATTAAAAATATTAAATTTTAAATAAATATTAATTTTATTTAATATTATTAATTATATTAAGAATTTAATTTTAATTTATGGAGAAAATAAAGAAATTTAAAAATTATTAATATTTTATTATTTCTTTTTTTTTTTTTTTAATTAAATCTTATATTTGAACAGTTCTAGAATAAAGATTTAATAGTAATACATATAATTAATTCTTTATACAGCTAGTACAACAGAAGGAGATACCAATAAACCTACCAATCAGCAGACAATACCTGTAGTTAATAATACTATTCCTACTACAAATTCCTCGAATTCTACTACAGCAGTTAATACTACTACTAACAATACTAAGGATACTGTTGATTCTGTTACTATTGTTACAAATATTTCTACTATTACTGTTACTCCTATCAGTAACAAAACTATAAATGATAACATCACTACTGTGAATCCACTAATATCTCAATCTACCTTAAAACCTACAACATCTACTGAAAATACAACTATTACCGAAAAGTCTATAATAACATCTACTATAGTAAATACACCTACTATAAATTCATCCATCGTTTCATCAACTCCTGTAATTACTACAGTTCCGGTATCAACAAAAGTTGCACCATCTTATAAAGAACGACATTTTGATGGTCTTAGCTTCTTAGGTAAGTATTTAATATTAATATCTATATTAACTTTTTTTTTTAGACATTTAATTCCTCATTTATATATTTAATTATTTAAATGGAAATATTCATTTAAACATAATGATGTCCAATCATTAATAAAAAATTATTATTTTTGCCTTTTTCTAGGTGGCATCATTTTAGCTACAGGTTTAATGGCAATTGGTGCTCTCTCTTGGAAATTTTATAGAACATTGAATGAACAAAATTACCGTACGCTATGATATTATCAAGATTGTCATCGCGAAAATTCCATTTTTCAATAAGTAAACACAGTCGTTCAAACTAAAAACTATGAATTTTACCATAATAATATTGCGTATTTTTATAACGCACTTAAGTGTCGCGTGGTTTAAGTGCTCTTAGTAATGTGATGTGCAAACGCGAATTTCGTTCTTTGTACCCAATTACAAAGACGAATTATACGCATTTTAATATTGTCTCTTTTTCTCTCTTCTCTATGACTGCGCATTGTAATAATGTAATTATATAAAGAAAGAATATTATATATAAAAAAAAAATGGGGAGAATATAGGATTTTTAAGGATGAAAGAGGATGAAAGAGATAAAAAGAATAGAAAATATAGTATTACAATGCGCACGCGTAACATGCATACGCAAGTTGACGACCAATCAAATTCAATACATTCTATCAAAAAGATCAATTCTGCAATATAACAAGTCCACGTAATATTTTTTGCTCAAATGAAAATTATTTCGTAAAATATTTTTTCTTCGTTTTATTTATATACTTGTTTATAATATGTTATTCGTAAAAACGATGATTAAATTAATATAAGCACAATGAAATGTACACAAATATAAAGGTTCCTACGTGTATATTCATAATAAAAACAGATATCTAAAAAGTTATACGTGGTAAAGTTAGTGATGTGCTAAAGTGTGATTCATATTTTGATATAAATTCATAACTATAATATTCACTGTCGATCAAATGATACTTCTTTATTTGCTGACGAGAAATATATTTTTTACCCAAAAGCGTCGTTATACGTTCTTCGTAACCATAAATTACAGTTGCACCTGAACAAGCCCGTATTAAGAAACATTGTTGATAGGGAATTTGTGTACGATTTAAACAAGAGAGAAAAGTTTTCAATTTCGTTTTTTGTACCTGTTGAAAGAGATAATTATATTATTGACAAATATTGAAACAAATTTTGAATACATAAGGAAATATAATATGTTAATTAATATTTTACGTAATAACCATAATCGTATAATATGTATTTTCATTTATATTTACATTTTTCGTTTTTCTTTTCTTTTTTTTTTTTTTTTTTGATATGATTAAAATGTATAGTATTTATTAGTTTTTGTTTATTTTTTCTCAAAGTAAATGTTTTGTTTTAAAGAGAGTAATTATATTACCAATGTTACGATAGCTGTACCATAATTGATAACACTGGCTCCTAAAACTCCCTCGATAATTCCGAATGTATTCTCGATATGTTTAATATCGTCAGATAAGAAACTCAAGTATTTACACACAGATCGATGGTTTTCCCACAAAAGCTCTCCTATAATGTACACAATATAAATATTGGGTCGAAATTTGCATATAAACATGTAAAAAAAAGAAGCTAAATTGCTTTGAAAAAAATGCGGTACCTAAATAGACTAATTTTTGAAACATACTAATCAAAGTTAAAGAAAATATGACCTATTATTATATATATGTAAAACAAAATATATAAATATATATATTTAAAAAAAAAGCTACAGCCTAAATAATATATTGTATCTATGTTTCATGTAATGTTTTAACAATCTATGTAAAATATACTTGCTTATATCAATTATTACAGTATTAATACTACACAAAATGGAAAACAAATTACATAATCCAAACAAATTACATCAAACCATTTGATAATATCCTACCCAGTTTTTCCCACTGTTCCTCTCGAATTGCGCAACCCATTTTTATTATTCTTTTATCCTTATCAATCGCATCATGAATCATTTTTATCGTTTTTTCCGGAAATAAATATTTTATCATTGACATGCCAATTGGATGTGTACGCCATCGGGATTGCGTGTTTATCACTGTCATGATTTCCTTATATTCTGTATTACTTATATACCATTCCGGTGATTTATTTTTTTCAACATTTAATTCTATGAGAATTATTTCAACGTCGATATTGTTCCAATCGTATTGATCAAAATGAAGAGATTGTGTATCGGTGATGAAAATTTTGTCCTCTTTTCCAAGAACAGAAACCAAAACATCGGAGATTCGAGTTTTGTAAAGAGAGCTTACCGCTAATTTTTCCGCCAAATGACATATTAGCGCTTTTTCTAAAATGTTTACTGTATATGTATGTGCTACTGTTTCAAGAAACATGTACAAAGCAGTGATTAAGGCCGAGTTTTTCCCAAGATCGTAATTTGAAGGCAAGTTGGAGACGATTACCATTTGAAAACCAGGAATGTACGCTGTTAACAATATCAATTATATATTTTTTTCTTTCATCAAAATAATTTTATTTTCGGATTTTAATTATGGTTGCCTACATCTTTACGAATTGTTCGTCAATTTTTCATTTTCATGCGATATCAATGTGTTTCAATATGTCAATTTACTTATATCGATATGATTTAATTATAGTAACAGTTTTTTTCTTATCGAATGTAAGAAATATAAATTATATTTTTTTTTCAAAACTATATCTTTAAAATAATTAAAAATGAAGGAAAAAATTTTAATAGATAAAACTAAATAACGTATATGTCCTACTTTTGCATTATCTTTGTCTAATTTTATGCATTGATGCAATGACTGGATAAATAATCGAAATATAAATAAAAGAAATTGAACATGTATTATTTATCTATAATTATATATTCTTGATCTAATTTTGATATATAAATATTTTATAAGAATCAAGGATCGAATTATGCAAAAAAAAAAAAAATATCAAAATAATGTAAAATTATATTTAAGATATAGTAATAATATAAAAATTTTTCTCTATATCTAATCTTCTAATATTTGCATGTATATTATATATAATATTATTGTATTTATTAACCAAGTGACTAATTGATTTTTTTTTATTTTGATAAAACTAATCTTAAATTTTACTAATAACACGTTTTCTTCACAAAAAGTATTTGTTGAAATTATACATTTATCATTAATATTCGATAAAATAAATTTTTTCCATTGTTCAAAACGAAGTTTTGTTCTTAAAAACGTGATATTATTGGAAATCTTTTTTGCTTGTAAATAAGAAACGTTTCATACGTTCAATATGCTCGAATTGCAATTTTATATTTAATATTATCGTCTCGTCAGAACGTAAATTCCTTTCCAAATAATTTTTATAACGATTCATTTAAAATATATATTCGGGTATAAGAAACATGTAAATTATTAATTATTGATATCAATGCATCATATTTTAATACATATTTCGAAATACATATATATATATATATATATGTATTTTCCAATGATATCTTCAAGAAGAAAAATCGTCATCTCGTATAGATAATAAAAATAGATTATGCGAAAATTGTTATACTAATATATAGCATAAATAATAAAAACGAAAGTGTTAAACAATTCTGGGACAATTTAAACGAATCGAACGGGGAATGGAAAACGAACGATTAATACCTACAATACTTTTCCTTGAAAGTTTTCAACGTTCCTTTTAAATAACGTATCCACAATCTTTCTTCGTCTGCTATGTAAAGATCCTCCTCCTTCAAGCCCATTTCCATCCTTTCCACCTTAGTTTTGTCCAAGTAAGATATAATCCGACATCGTTTGTACTGATGGTATTTACCAACTATCAACGTGACAAGTTGAATGGCCTGTTTTATTTCAAGGGAAGATAAACGGAGACAAATGTGTGTATGTGTGTCTATCGTGTATGTGTCTGTATCGTTACACGCCTCTATTGCTTTTCCCAAGCGTCACGATCACGTGAGAAAAGTGCATGTTCAGCGATCGTGCAGGCTAGGAAAATCGGGACTTGGCAGTGAATCGGCGCAGAAATGCTTGAATTTGCACCTACCATGGACAATGATTTACTTTCAGCGAAATCCATACACTTGCCAGCTATGGTTAGAGTTCCGGGCGCGTACACCGCACAGGTAGGCTCTACCTTGTAAAATTCGAAAAATTTTTTTTCGGCGAATTCTTTTAATTCGTCCACACTGGGAAATTTCGTGATATTTTTGGGCAAATGATTTTCACTTAAATGATGTTTCACGAGTTTGTAGTAATCCTTCAAAAACTGTGTGTAGAACAATGATTTAAATGAGCTTCGAAATAATATCTCGAGGAGGATTAAAATAGCGTAAATTTTTTTTTTTTTTTTTAAGGTAAAAAAAGTCAGAAATGCGTGATAAATTTCGTTTATCTGAAGTTTCAATTTTGGCCTGATAAAAACATGGAAATAACGTATGCAATTTTTCATTCTTTGCTTTATGAAAAATTACATATTGATAAGGAAAAATATATAAATTCGGCTTTACAGATATTTATTATCCCATTTTACATTGATATTCTAATCTAGTACAAAATATTTTACTTGGACATTTGTTATATGTATAATTAAATAACACAACGGGTCGTTTAAATCAAATTATAAAATTAAATAAACGAAAAAACGTTGATTCGTTAAATAATTCGTCCAAAAGTGAAATTTCATATAAAGAAAATTCATTCTACCTTTAGATAACTTATTGCTATTACACGAGAAATTATCCTCTTTCCTGCATATTTATTACCCACATATACGTACATACATATGAATATAATTGCGTAAAATTTAGGAAAATTTCGAAATATTTTTTTCTTCTATTTTATTCTATTTTATTACATTTTTAAAAATTTTCATTCTTGCAAATTTCATATTTCCATCGAGAGAGAGAGAGAGAGAGAGAGAGAGAGAATAAATAAAATACTGTTATTAACAAAAAACGTGTTTCAATCGTGCCGAATTCACGAGTTCGAAAATTTCCAAACGTATTCAAAACGCAATTGTGCAACATCGTGCATCGTCCGCCGCCCGATTTAAGCGGACGCGTGTGTTATTTTAACTAACATTTCGTTCCCAAATATACGCGATACGCGATCACACGAAGTAGAACAGCGGCGCAAAACGGAAGTTTTTATCCTGATTTTTCTATCCCGAACAATGGGAGCTCTTACTTTATTGTTCGATAAATTGGCTGGCGTGGAAGCGGCACACGCCGTATAGATATTACGTGATTTATCGTTCATCCTGGAAAAAAAGTCATCTAACCGGAAACTCTAACTCGCCTCGGCCTACGAATCGACATATTTCTGATATTTGACATTTCTACCCTCCCCTCTCGTTTCTTGTTTTTCCCTCGTTTTGTTTTGTTTCAAGCGTCATCGAGTTTCGTCGAGTTTCGTGCAACCCGGGGAAAACGAATCCCGCACGTTCACGTTCCTCTCTCTCTCTCTCTCTCTCTCTCT